TGGCGTTAGAGGAAGCAACTTGACACCTGATTTTTTTCTTGTCTATGTTTTTTTTAGTCTTCTGAACCAGCTCCTCCTTTCGACTAGTATGGTTGAGTACTGTCGGATCCTATATAAGAGGCTATTCTTTCAAAATTATTTTTTTCATTTTTATGGCTCGAATTCGAAACCTCTAATTAAGGGATACAAACTCTTTACCACTTGGGCCAAAAGTGTTTGGTTCTTGCCTTGTATTTGTTTATGATCCAACTAAACATGTTAATTTCTAGTTGCAGAAATTTTCAACCATGATGGAATATGTGGATATTACCACCAATTTGGTCCTTACAGAGAATTCTATGTGCCATACAAGTTTCTGGCTTACCAGGTTATGTCAATTTTACCAAGAAAATGTTCTGTATTTTCTTTCCCACCTTCTTCCAGTCAATCAAATTCCAAAATCTCAGAGCAACAAGCATTAAATCAAGGATTATCTAGGATTCCTAGGTATTCAAAACGATATGTACGTTTGCAGAGTTACAGTTGAATCGTCAAGAAAACCACATCCAAGTTGAGTGTTAAGAGGGACCGGTGGCAAAAGGTTATGTCAGCAAAGTGAGAAAAGCAATGTTAGTGAGAGATCATTACCCAGATTTCCATAGCCTTAACTTTGTGTTAAATTGAGTTTCTTATTAATTATTACAACTTCTCATCCAAGTGGACCAAATTTGAAATTTAAAAAACAAGTGTTAACCTATTAACCAAGTTTCCAATTTCCATCTTGCTGTTCATTTTCTTAATTGATAAATCAACGCACCTCAATGCATCTCTTTCTTTCTTTTTCTTTTCTTTTTTTAATTTTAAAGGAGCATCGAAGACGTTGCCAGAGATATAAGGTCGTTTACTTAAGAAAAACAAAAATTTAAAACAAGTAAGACAGCGGATTTTTCATATTAAAATTTCAAATAGTCATGTCAAAATTGTTTATCTATTTTTATTTTCTTAGACATTAATTAAATACGGTTCAGTTAAAATATTTCAATATTTTTTTTGAGTGAACTCAAGGATATCCTCACCCCACATAAGATGGGACTAATCCCTTTCGCGGATTGAGAGGGCAAGAGTTTCTCCGCTACCCACAAAGTGTGTTTACCAGAATTCGAACTCAAGCCCTAAATATTTCAATATTAAAGAATAGAGAGATAGATACAAAATTTTAACATTTCCTAAATAATATTATTTGTTTAAAATGATATTAAAGAATAGTCATTCCACCTTGTAAATCCATCACATGCATTTAACTCAAATCAACTTAACTCACATGTGCAAGTTGGGTTGGGTTGGGAAAAATAGAATTCCAATCTAGTCACTTTAAGGGGGCGTTTGGTAGAGGAGAAATATTTTTTTATATGGGAAATAATTGTTACTAGAATGTAGCCGGAAATATATTTTACTGAAATATTATTAAAAAGATGTTCGGTAGACTTATATTTTCCTGAAAAAATTAAGATTATTTCACTGAGTTTGTGTTTGACCAAAATAACCTCAGCTTTACCCTTTTGATTCAAAATTTCTAACGTTCCTTCCTGAAGACAAACTGAAAGAGATCTGAGTTTGAAGTGAGTCAGATCTATTGACGGCAGGGAGCTATGCAAAATAACCCAGCTTTGCTTTGGTGGGAGCTTTGCAAAATAATATCCCACTTTTTAGCGAGAAAAAAAAAACCCATACAGTTACTTAGGGGTTCCAACATGGGAGTAGCTTGTTCAAAGGATGCAGCCCAGATTTCAACAATCTACAAGTATACCTTCCAATGGAAGTAGCATGTGGTTCTCTTCTGCGAAGACCTTATCCTCAGATTGTACAAGGACAAGGTCAGTTTTGTCAATAACTTTGCGTCTCACTTTTTCATTCCCCGGGTAGCGAAAAACTCCACATATTTTTTGAATTTCATATTTGTCAATCCGTACCAAAATTATCAAGCACTCACATTTTTTCGTAAACAATTTTAGCCAGGGAAGTTATAGATTTGGGGCTACCAAACGCAGGTAACAGTTTTCCCTTACCTGCCTTTCTCGGACATTCAAAAATAAGCCGGCTACCAAACACGCCCTAAATTGTTTTTAATGAGTGGGTAAAGTTAAAAAAATACCACTAACTCAATCAAATCCATGCATTTTATACTTCTCCATTAATATCTTCATTCGTAAAGTATAATACAAATTGGCCTTGCATTACTAAATACTTAAAGTAGATACATACAATTTAAAATTAAATAAAATGTCTTTCGATATCCGAAATTCAATTGGGATAGGATAATTTGTTGAGAACATAATGACGATCGAGCTTTTCAATAATAATAATAATAAGACAAGCACATGTATCAAAAATAAAATAAAATAAGACAAGCAAAACTGGTGACTGACCTTCTCATTTCTGAACTTGAGAGCTGTTGGCGCCCATGAGCCAGATGGGCTCCACTTTTCGATTCCAGCCCAGGTTCACCGATGGCTGGTACAGCGATGCATTCCTTCAGTTCGTACGTAGTTGCACCCAATTTACAGTGTTGCTCCGACATGTAACGCTCTCAAAAGGGTTTTTTAATTTTACCAATGACTTTGCGCAATAATGCCCATTACTTTTTTCTCAAATATAATGATGATGATGATGTCCACAACTTTCTTATAATGCCCGTGCCAGCCTCTACCTCTTTTCATAGAGCTTTCCTGTGTAATACAAATACTTTTCACGATAAGTATATACAAATGATGTGTGAACAAAAGCACTTGCATATTCTCAACTAAAATTTCACAAAAAAATTATAAAAAAATAAAAAATCTACGTTGGCAGAACAATTGGCGTGAAACGGGACATATGGGGATATTTGCGACATTCGGTTATTACAAATGCTCTTATTCCAGAGAAATTCTAAAACGATCTCAAGTGTATTCCTGTAGTAGTTTGTAACTGTTCGAATTTAAATTGTTAATTTCTTTATTTTATACAGGCAAGAATCAACGTAGGTTTTACATCATAATCATTAAATACAAGTGAAATAAATTAACAACTAATAATAAAGGTAAGATTTCTTATATTTATATTAGTGAATATTTTATAAATATGTTGTCATTATGATATTCTTAAGTAAGGTTGTTGAATCACAACACGTATCGTGTATCATTTAGTCGTCTTTTCTATCTTGTATTGTGAATCGTATCGAATCATACGATACAGAAATATAATAAAAAATAATTTAAAAATATGTAATATAATTAATATCACATAAATTCAAGTTTCAAAAAGGATCCAATAAGAAAAATACATAAGTAATTATAGTGCCAACCAGTTATTTTCCGACTTATCAATCATTAAGACTAATATTATCACTACTATTACTATCAATCAGCATCTATCAGTGACATAATCCATCATCCTCTTCCAAAAAGGATCCTTTTAGATTTTTTTTAATTTAAATTGCAAATCAAATCTTTTTTTCTTTTTTTATATTACAAATTACAAATTTTGATTTACTTTTTGTATCGTATCATATCGTAAGATACAGTATCGTATCGTTCGGTACAAGTCTGTTTCTGATACACTCCACAATCGATACATATCGTTGTGTTTGTAAATCGTATCTTATCGTATGAATCATATCGTGTATCGTAAGTAGGGGTGTTAACGAGCCGAGACGAGCCGAGTTTTGGTCTTAACGGGCCGAGCCTGTGTTCAAATGTGTCAGACTGGCCTTAGCCTGTTACCTGTTACGAATATAATATCAGCCTGTGGCCTGACTCATTTTTAAAAAATAAAAGCCTTGTTTATCCTGTTAGCCTGTTTAAAAAAATTAAGACAACAAAAATTTATCCAAACAAAATATACAATCAACAGCACTAGTAATTCCATAAATATTCATAAATTTAATGTATATCCAAATAGCATAATATAAAACAAAATCATTTAAAAAGTCTGTTTAATTAATAAAATGGGATGAAATGAATTGAGAAGAGAGAGAGGGGCTATCACAAGTAGTATAAAAAATAAAATAATAAAATATTAGGCAAGTCTGAGAGGCTCTAAGGTCGGGGTTTTGAATTGGAGTCTGAGGCTTTTTTATTAAACGAGCTTTTATACAAGTCCAAGTCTGGGTCCAACAATTAATTTTAGACATGTAAGCTCAGGCCTTCACGAGCCGAGACAAAGGCCCCTATAAAGCCCTTGGCTCGTTTAACACCCCTAATCGTAAGATACTGATTACTATGTTCTTAAGTATATATTCAATTTTTCTTTTTCTTTTTGGAAATTATATATATTCAATGTTTCTGATCCTTTAATAAATACATGTTGTCACTCAGACATTTTTTTTTCTGTTCAAGAGACGAATTTCGTTATATATTGAGACAATTGTGTGATGTTCTTGCTCATATCGATAGAGGAGACAAATATTAAGGAAACAATTTTGATACGTCTTAAGGAAACATTTGTCTTCAATCTGATACTGTGGTTGAATTATAAATTTGATTTCTGATTAATTCCTCGAATACATATTTCACCACATAAAGGATTCGGTTTTGTTTCTTGTTTACACATTTTCGGTAACATATTATTAGATGCAAGATAAATACATAATAGTAACGGGATATCTGATATGATGTACCTATTTGTCCAGTATCCCAAAGTAGCTAAAAAAATTTCGAAATCCCGAGTTATATTTGATGTAAGTAAGGCCTCCAATAATTGCGCTAGAGAGACGTTAGATGCCAATAAGTTCTCAGCGGGTCCCATATGAAGCACGCGAGAAACCTAATTAGCGATCGCTTAGCCCATGATCATGATCCCCACACAAGCTACACACTCACACATGTACAATCAATGATCCCTTCCCTATGGCTAAATGTGACTCCTCAATAGACCTATCTGCAGGTTTAATTCCTAGATTGATTCTTTACCATTGCACATTTGCACAAGAGAGCAAAAACAAAGTGGAACAATTTTGTAAGTTTTTTTAGTTTCTAACAATCATGGCCATGGTAATGTCTGTGTTGTCATGGTTTTTGTGTGTTTTGGTAGCAGTCCAATGTGGTTCATGTGCGAAGGACATCTTCATACTGGGAGGACAGAGCAACATGGCTGGTCGTGGAGGTGTTCACATGGGAAAATGGGACGGCAATGTCCCACCGGAGTGCAAGCCCAACCCATCTATTTTGAGGCTAAGTGAAAAACTCCAATGGGAGGAAGCACGTGAGCCTCTGCATGCGGACATTGATGTGGCCAAGACGTGTGGCGTTGGGCCCGGAATGGCTTTTGCAAACGAGGTTGTTAAAGTCTTAGGAGCAGGTTGTGTGGGTCTGGTCCCTTGTGCAGTGGGTGGGACTAGAATTTCTCAGTGGAGCAGAGGGTCACATTTGTATAATGAATTGGTTCAACGATCCACTCACTCAATGAGGGATGGTGGTGGTGGCACAATTCGAGCACTTCTTTGGTATCAAGGTGAGAGTGACACTGTGAGAGAAGAGGATGCTGAGGCATATAAACATAAAATGGAAACCTTTATTATGGACCTTCGCTCAGACCTTCATCTTCCATCTCTCCTTGTTATCCAGGTTAGCCTTTTTTCACTCCCACTATGCTTTTTATGTCTTTTTGTCTTTCTTTCACACACTCTCATTCTCTTTTTGAGTTTTAATTTTAATTTGTGTTTTCCCATCCTCTTTAGATCCAGAGTTATATTGCTTTTGTTATTTAGCGTATTGTCCTATTTTGAAAGCAGACAACGGGGGGGACACAAGTGTATTCGAATTTCGAAAAAGCGTAATTATCAATAGTTGGGGGCTTGTGGCCTTCTATTCAAATTTATGGCTGTTATTTACCAAAAAAAATTTGTGGTTGTTCATATGATTCCAAAGATATTGTAATGACATCTTACTAGTTCAATAAATGGGGCAATATAACAACTAGCATCAACTTTTATTTTATAAAATCCGTGCCAATTTGTTTCCTTATAATTTTAATTTAGCTTTTCTTCCCCTTTTTTATAAAAAAAGAAAAGAAAAAAGTCAGAGAGAATTAAGAGGATGTCAAATGTGGGCGTGTAAAATCTTGTTATGCAGGTAGCACTTGCATCAGGGGAAGGCAAGTTTACAGAGAAGGTGAGACAAGCTCAACTGGGGATCACACTGCCAAACGTCAAGTGTGTTGATGCCAAGGGATTGCGCCTCAAAGCAGATAAACTTCACCTTACCACCATTTCTGAGGTTCACGTAGGCATTCATTTAGCTCATGCCTATCTCGCTTCCGTCAGCCACCAATTTAATCATACGCAACTCAGCTAGTTGAGGATGCATTTGGCTTCTTTTGAAAACATTTCTGACCTATAATTTGGCTTTGGTTTACTGAATGGCTCATTATGTATATTCAATTAATTCAGAACATATATATATATATATATATATATATATATATATATATATATATATAGAGTTAATTTCTTCCAAATTTCATCTTTCAGGCATCTTCAAGAATATTTAAATTGGAGAAAATGTTGATTAAGTGACATATTACATAATTATAACCAATCTTGTTAGAATCGGGATTTTAAATAAAACTGAAGAAAAATTAAAAAATCGTAATACGTAAAATTGTAATATAAAAAAAATCGTAAAAAATCATAAAAACTTGAAAGCGTTTGGAATATTGATAAAATCGATTTGATGAAAAAAATCGTAAAAACATAAAATCGTAGTGATAAATCGAGATTTTAACAACTATAATTATAACCCTCTTAATATGGACTGTCTCGAGGTCTTTTAGTGCGTACAAGACCTTTGATCAAATCAAGTTACCCATGACTCTGATTTGTGTTGATTTTTATTAGGCGAAAATGGACAAAAAAAATTAAAATATTATGATTTTAATACATATTTACGAATATATAGTTGTTTCGAAATTATTTATAGATCTATTGCATTTATTCACGTCTAAATTATGCGTGACTCCCAAGGCATTCACGCCTAATTTAGGCGTGACTCTTCTAGTATTGACATGTGACACAAAAAAATTAATTTATGAACCATATAACTTTGGAAAGTCATTTTTTTAACTCGGGTATCCGAATCAGAATTTTTTTTTTTGATTCCTCATAACTTTACGAGATCTACGCAATGACATCTCATTTGATATATTTTATCTCTCACAAACACAATTCAAATTTACAGTAATGGTATTATAAGAACATTTAAACCCAGAAATCTCCGAGTTCTGAGTTTGTGATTTAATATAAAATAATAAATGAAGATTTGATTTGTGATTTAAATTAAAAAAAAAATAATCAAATTTCCTTCACAAAAAAAGTCAAATTTTTTAATTTTTAATATAAAAAATAAATAAATATTTGATTTGTGATTTAAACTCAAAAATCAATTTAAAAATCTGTATTAATAAAGAAAATAATTAAATAAATATTCTAAATCTATAAAGAAGAAGGATTTTATTTTTAAAAACCATTCATAGGCTATAAGCTTCCAACGAATCCAGCCATTATTTTGTATTAGAAGGATGTAACTTATGATACGGTTCGATAAAATTCTTTAAAAAGTTATATATTTTTAAATTATTTTTTATTATATTTTTGTATCTTACGATTCGATATGATTCACGATATGAAAAATCGGCCAAACGATACATCATATGTATTGCGATTCAATAACCTTGTACACTGTTTTTTTTTCAAACCCTTGGTAGAAGTATATATTTTAATATGACATTAAGTATCCTTATTTATAAATGAACTAATCCACTTTGGTGCCATCTTCATAGTACCATTATTTCAAATTTGAATTGTGTTTGTGAGAGATAAAATATATCAAATGACATATCATTGCGTAGATCTTAAAAAATTATGTGGAATCAAAAAAAAATTACCTGATTCAGATACCCGAGTCAAAAATTATAGCCTTATGAAGTTTTACGATTAAAATGTTAACTTTGTGTGTCACGTGTCAACACCAGACGAGTCACACTTAATTTAAGCGTGAATGTCTTGGGAGTCATGCTTAAATTAGGCGTGAATGGTCACGTCCAATTTGGACATGAATAAATGCAATATATTCCTAGTTAAGTTCAAAATAATAATTTATTCGTAATTATTTATTAAAAAATAATATTTTAATTTTTTTGCACCGAAAATGAGATGAGACATAGTGCAACTTTGGGGATTTTTTTATTTTTTTTATTTTAGGAGTACGTGCATCCTTTCTTTAAATAAAGAAAGTTTTATTTCATTTAAATTTTTTTTTTTATTTCCTTTTAAAGTCCTAATTTTCTATCCCTGTTTGAAAAGAATATTGATACACCTGTAGTATCGAAAAATCACTCCCACTTTAGACAGGACCGTACAAGGTCAGGATCCACTTGCAATTTTGTGACAGTATTTATGTATTTTGGAACTTAGCAATTTGTTGGAATTATTCATAGCTCAGCTCAGCATTGCTTGGAGCCTTGGACCATATAAAAGCTCTGCATCATGTAATTACGAAAGACAGTGTGTTCTGGAGCCCAGTCAGCAAGGCTCTGATCTTATTAATCAGGATGAAAACTCTCCTTTGTGGTCGTATTTGAATTTTGAAGTTTGATGTTGTTTATCGGTCATGCTATATTATATTTAATTTATGTAAAAGTACGTAAAATTATGTGAAAAATTTTACACAATAAATAATGGGATTTATTAATCTTTTGTAACAGAAGATCATTTACCTCCTCTTATAAAAATAAATTATTTGGATTCCATTATTTACAAAAAAAAATGCACAGCTTTTAATATTTCACTGACATTAGAAAATTGTCTTCAATAACCTGAGATAATTTAAACCCATAAATAATATGCATTTAAATAACAACACATACTTTTACATTCCCCTATTTGTATAAGGGTGTGGTGTTTGTTATTTTAAATGACATAAATTATGACATTTTAGGAGAGAGATAGAGACAGAAAATAAAAATTATGGAAGAGAGAAAGTGAGTGATTTTTTTTTTAAATTAAAATTTAAATAAAAAATTTATTATATGTCTATCTCTTTTTTAAAATGACATAACTTTATATCATTTAAAATGATAAACAATTTTTGCTTTGTATAATATCAGTACCTAGCATTCTATTCTAGAGAGTAGAACCAAAAGAACGTGTCTCCTCGATAAAAATTCAAGACCAGAACGATGGTAGAAATAGCCACCTCAAACAAGACGTGTCTAGAACTAGCCTCGCCATCTACATTGAAAGCATTGATACCTGCAAATTGATATTTCGTAATAAATTAGATGCAGTTGACGCTCCGGTGTAATCACGTAATAATAGTCTTTTAAACATAAAGTTTTTAGGATAAATGATTTTTTCTTACATTAAAGTTAATTAAAACATTAACTTCGACGATGATTTAATTATAATAAGACTACATATTGTTTATTACTGGAAATTTCAATATTTAAATTCAAATCATATTTGTCGTTAGGAATGAACAGTTTTGTTGTTATGAATAAACAATGGACCGAAATTGGTAATTGGGGCTGTATATGCTCCAGTGATAATTTTTTGAATAAGGAGGATGTACACTAAATCCAGCACTCAATTCTTTTTTAATTGAATCGTACAGCATGAAATATATTTTCTTCATGAAGACAAACAAAATCGAATTACCACTAGGGTTAGTTAGTGGTGTGAGTGTGTGTAATAGAGTGTGTAGTTGTGTTCGATTTCATGAAAACTAAAAAAGAAAAAGAAAAATTGAATTGAAAAATAATAGTTTATGTTCAAGCATATGTTTTAATAGCGATTTAAATATCTTTTGAGCGGACTAAAAAACTACTTTTATATAAGCCTTTTCCCTCGATCGGCTAGTATATTCAAAAAATAGGTATAACTATTGATTTACTTTTATATGATTGTGATCTTTTCACATGATAATATCATAATTTTTTGCACACGAGAAGATCCATTTTCAATAAAAATATTTATTTTTTAAAACGTGGTTGGCCAAAAGCGACGACACTAACTTTCGGTCACTCACTTACTTTCTGCGCGCCGTAAATGTTTTTTAAATTACATAAATTGTTTTTAAAATTGTTTAAAAAGGAAGTGTAATTTTTTATTTTATGACTATTTTTTAATCAATACACAGTTTCAGCTTAAAATACAAGTACTTTGATCAAAAGGAACGCTTATATATTTCTTTTAGAGGAAGATTATACTTACAATTTTTTTTTACAACCTCTTACAACCATATCTTAACACCGTTGATTTTCGCCAATCAACGGTTATTATTTATTGTGAATTAATAATTAATTAATGAGTTTCATTTGCGAAAATCATAACCGTTGATTGGCGGAAATCAACGGTGTTAAGATATGGTTGTAAGAGGTTGTAAAAAAAAATTGTAAGTATAACTTTCCTCTTCCTTTTAATAAATTATTACTTTCAAGGTAAAAAAATATAAATATCACCGTAATCAATAAGAAAATATGAAATAAATTTATAATTATTATTAAGTGGTAGTGTAACAATAGCATCTCACATGCCCAAATATTTGTAATTCTAGAATATTTTATAAAGTTGTTAGGTGTTGTGTAACAACTCTTAGGCTTTGTTTGGGAGTTTGGAGAAGAGAGAATGAAGAGAAGGGAAATAAAAGGTATTCTCTTCCCTTCTTTAAGACTTAAAAAAAAAGGTAAGGAAGAAAGATAGAGAAAATGAGATATTTTATTATTTTACCCTTTTTTTAAAAACTAAAAATTATTATACTTTACAAATAAAATAAAATTTAAAATTTTTAAAAACACTATTTAGGTATTTTTCAATGGAATTTCTACATTTCAAAAGATGAAAAATATGTTTTTGATAGAAATTTTTTGTTGTAAGGCGACATACTATTTTAACCGTTGAAATTTTGACGAAAATAAATTTGCGTCAAAACTTTCGACCAAAAAAATTCCTTCTAAAGCTTTGGAGCAAAAAAGATTTTCGTCAAAATTTATGACAAAAATAATTTCCGTAAAAAATTTCAATAGAAATGTCTGTAAAAATTTTTGACGAAAATGTATTTATGTCAAAAAAAATTGATGGAAATATTTTCGTAGAAATTTTGTTTCTGTCAAGAATTTTGCAGGAATTTTTTTAATTGAAATTTTTTACGAAAATATTTTGCGTCAAAATATTTTACGAATATTTTTTCCCTCAAAAATTTTCTTTGAAAATGTGTTTCGTAAAGAATTTTGATGAAAATGTTTTTCGTCGAAAAATTTGGCGAAAAAGTTTCGACGAAATTTAGATATTGTCAAGAGT